TTCTATCATGGGTTACAAAAAAAAAAAAAACAAAAAAATCAATCATGGATTACAAGAAAAGAAAACAAACATTTCGATCATGGATTACAAAAAATTCTATTATGGGTTAACAAAAACCAAAAAATTCGATCATGGATTCAAAAAAATCTATCATGGATTAACCAAAAAAAAAAAAAAAAAAAAAAAAAAAAATAAAAAAAATAAAAAAAATAAAAAAATAAAAAAATAAAAAAAATACCGTACGGAATCGCCGATTCACTGTTCGGACTCGCCGATTCCGTACAGTGAATCGGCGATTCACTGTACAGAATCGTCCGGTTCTCTCTAGAACCGGACGATTTCCGATTTTTGGACGATCCGGTTCCTTTTTCACTATTTCCGAGCGTTTTTTAAAACGCTGGTTATGGGTAAAGATTCACTTATTTTGATAGGGTTTAAATACACAATTTAGGCTCCAAAGGTTTAAAAGTACACACGCAAAATAAGATCGAGAGAGAACCCTTATCCCCTTTGCGGTGCCAAAACACTCAAAAAAAGTGGAGGGAAAGTTAAATTGGGTGGATTACTAATAATGCGGGTTATCAATCCCCTCTCATTGGTCCTGACAACGGAAGGAGATATCCAAACCGTAGCTTCTTACATCTAACGGTTGAAAATGTAAGAAACTTTGTTGAGGGAGAAATGGAACTTTCTAGTCGGTGCCGTCCTTGCCAACGAAAATTGCAGGAGATTCTGGTCTCAACTCTTTCTCTCTCTAGATTTCTCTCACTAAGACTCTCTCTTGCTTTCTCTCACTAAAACTCTCATCTCTCTTGCTTTCTCTCACTAAATATCTCTCTGTGTGCCTTCCTATAACTAAACGTCTGATTTTTTCATCAAAAGGTTTTTACATGTTTACACTTTTTGTTGTTTGAATTTTCGTTTCACCTTCCCATTATTTATTCTGATTAGAATTTGCATTTGTTGTCATGTTTTCCATGTAAAAGAAGAGTATCGCTGTGTTCAGTTGGAGAAGAAATGAAGCGGCTTCTAAGGCATGGGCGGACGCTGTTGCCCCTTCTCTCTCAGAGCTCCTCATCTACTTCGAGTTTCAGTGAGATTCAGCGTCTTCCTCATCTTCCTATAGTTCCTCTTCCTTCGTATCGTTCGGGGTTTCCTAGTGTGTATTGGCTGTTCAGTTTTCTTATTTTTATTCAATTAATGGTTATGTCTTTTTGGGTCCCCTCCTGTGTTGGTGCTGATTATACTGCAATTGTTTGGGAGTCTGAAGCTTATGTGTCTCTGCTTTTTTTGTGAACTATAACTTGTGATTACTTCCGTGTGTATTCATTTGAATTGGGTTTGGGTGAATTTGAGTTGCCATTCGAGTTCCTTTGTCCTAGTTGATTTTGCTGCGTCTAAAGAATGAAGCTGTGACATCATTTGGAGATGAATTAAGAATCACTAGGCTGTATGGACTATGGAGTTGACGCACGCTATGAATGGTTGGTTCTGCTGTCCTGGAAAGGAATAATCGAAATTTTATATTTAATTCATTAGACATTAAATGTGTTCTGTCAATCCACATCTGTATTCTTCATAAAATTATAGATGAGAGTTCTAAATACTTGAGGTAGAGATTTTTAGTTTCTTAGGTTCTCTTTGCACAATGAAATTATAAAGGATGAGAAGAAACTGAAATTGTTTATATGAGGGTCAAACGAAAACGAAAACCATCATTAAATTTATGTTGACATCTCAGTAATGCCTAGGGATGGAAGGCGATCTTGAATCTGTGGGAGCAAGGGTTGAAACTAAGCAGTGTGATTGATTTTTAAGGACACATCTAGGTGTGTGTCCATTTTCTAATGGGTGGTCTTACCACATTTCCTGACCACTGTTCTATAGGAGAATCGGAAAACAAAGCTGTTGATTTGATAGATGCTTTTGAGGTCAGTTTCAGCTGTATTTGTGGTCTTTTGGATCCTGTTTGCCTGACATTACATACGACATCATCTCTATCATGGGAATTAATTCATATTTGTAATCTGCTTTATTAGGTCTAGGTGGATGTTGTTGTGGAAGTTCGTACTTCGTGACTTATGCAGGATCAGACTGTGGAAGTCATTCCTTGATGTATTCCAAAGTATGGAGGTCAGAATCAGCATCAAACTCCAAATTTTATTCTATTTTACAAACAATCTTCGCTGGTGCTCTTGTTGGAAGTACTATGCTTGAATTTGCTCAAGCTGAGGTATGAATTTGATTACTTGATCGATATTTTCTGCTCTTTTTATCTACTTCGTTTTGATTTTATTGTAAAGAACTACACTCATGCAATAATTTTTTTTTGAATATTTAAATTGTTAGACTGTCATGTGTGCATGATTCTGTTTATTGATTTATTATGAACATAGCATAGGCAGACATTCAGCCTGGATCTGCCTCTCAATCACCATCAAACATTGGTGGAAATGAGAAAAGGGTTGGACTTGAACGGGAAAGAGTAGAAGAGCTGCTAAGAAAGAAAGGGTTGCAGCGAGGCTCTTATCCCCCATTTATTGTTGCTGTTAAAGGTCAACAGGTGAGTGAGCTGCCTTCCTTTAATTTTTTTATTTTATTATTATTATTATTTTTTATGATTGGTGCGATGTCTTATATGCTTAGTTTTATCTAGTTTGTGCAATATTTTATCAGTTCTCAGTTCAGATAAATGACATTTCACAACATGAATTTGAAGTTATGATATGCATGCAATTGTTCTGTATAATGCTTTGCCTTAGCAAGTGTTATAGCTGCATTGACAGTTGGTTACTTTAGAAACATAAAAAAGAAATATCATATAGTTCATGAGCTACTCATTCTTGTCAAAGGGAATACTTGTTTTTAAACATTTATTTCTGATACAAAATTTTCTTTTGAATCATTTGATTGGCTCTATGGTGTTTGCATGCCACCTGTTGAATTTGTTCCACTGGGTCCTTTGGAATTTTCATGTATATACATGCTGTTGGGAACCGAGATTTGCTCAACTGCCCCTTGTTGTGGTGAGCACCCCCCACTGCAACAAATTCAATACCTGAAAACGAACTTGGTTATAACTGACAAATTAATCTCAATAAACAAAAACACCCAAGAACAGCATATTGTGCACAAAATTTTAGAAAAATAAATGGAAACCAAATTACCAAGAGAAGAGAAATAGGAAAAGCCTAAAACCATTACAAAACACTGTGCACAATGACAATCCAAACATAACCAGCACACTTTGTGATTCACCTAGTGGGATACATCTATGGCCAACTGGCAAGGATTTGATTTTATCATCGTGAAAGAATTACAAGATTTGGGTAAATGCATGATTTTCTTCATATTCAGCAAGATCTAGGAGTTCGTTTTTACTACCAGAAAATAACCATAGAAAAAATCACCATGGCTCCAAATCCAATGGAAATGCTGATAAAACCACACAAAACTGGGGCGTAGTGGTGGCTAGATTTCTTGTCAAAGAGGAGAATGAAAACCCCTAATTTGAAACATCTCTCATATCGCAATCCAAACCCTCCAAAAGAGTCCCCCTATTTGCTCTCGTACATGTCTTGTGAAGCCTCCAGCTTTAAGTGATAATTTCAGTGATGCAATCACACTTGTACAAGTGAGAAATACCTAAAATACATTCGTTTGTAATTTTGATATCACAAACCCCACTCCTTCCTTGGCGCTGCATTGTGTTTTATGGACTATTGCAAAAACAAGAAGCCGTGCTTGGATGGAATGTCAGTCCCTTAAATCATGTAGTGGGAATGAGAATAACAAAATGAATATTCTCTGTATCTTGCATGGGAAAGTTGGTGTATGAAGATGCTGTTGTTTGGGAAACAATGTTGGTATCCCTGCCCACTTCTTGAATGTAAAAAACTAGTCATTTATGTAAATATTGCACTTTCATGAGGAATGTCTTCTTTGTAAACTTTTGGACGAAAAGAATACTAAAATTCACCCTGCCCACTTCTTGAATGTAAAAAACTAGTCATTTATGTAAATATTGCACTTTCATGAGGAATGTCTTCTTTGTAAACTTTTGGACGAAAAGAATACTAAAATTCACCTTTTATAAAAGAGCTATACAATCCTTAATAGAACTATCTATGTTTTTCGCTAGCTTGACATAATTAATTTGCACTGTGACAAATGATGGATACCCTTCTTGTCATTGTTCAAAAAATCATTAGTTCAACTTGGGACTCGAACATTTCGACTCACCTTGGGTCATTTTCTCGAAAGACTGGGACGAGTCAAATCGAGTTAATTCCTCCTGGGACTAGGTCAAGTCCTGGGCTGATTCTGGTGTATTGCGTATCATGTGATCTTCTATTATGTTGTCCTGTGACCGACCTTTGATTTGAGCCATTACTTAATTTGAACATCAATGCCCGCTAGATTTATCAACAGTGTACTCAATTTAGTTTCAGTAGGGAATATTATATGATGGAAATTTAGTCATTTTCTTGAAGATTGGTTTGACTTCAGATATTGGACATGACTGTGGTCTTTTATAGATGTGGCTTATTAATTGGAGACTAGGATTTAGAAGAAATTTATATTTTTTTAATGTCCTATCCTGTGCCTTAATCTTGCCTATTTTATCGTAAATCATTCCACAATTACAGAAATGAACATTGCGAACATAATTCAGGTAACCTTGAGATTTCAAGTGCCATCTCATTGTGAAGTGCATCGGCTGATTGTTGATCTTGTCTCAAGACTTGGATTAAAAACTGATTTGCATGTGGGTGGGTCGGAAATGAAACTGCATGCATGGGATAGGTATGAAAAAGTGTTCTATACTTTATTTTCTCTTGCTGTCTATTGGCTTTATCGCTTGTTTTCTTAATTGTTTATCCTGTTTTATCATTGATTTCGTAACTTAATAGATATGTAGTAAGTGCAACTCACCTCTTCTCCATATTATAAGGAGTTCACACTTCTATTTATCTGAGTGGAAACTCTTTGACTATCATTTTGCTAAGGAGAAACCTGATCTATAGGGTTTTGTTTTTTAATTCTTTTAATGATGAAATAAGCTGTGAAAATTTAGTAAGGAATTGCAAAACTGAGAAAATGTGAAAGGGTGAAATACTGATCTTGGCAATTTCTAGGATTTAGTATCTTTTATAATTTTGTACTTCATGCCTTCTTATAGGGGCCAAAGTTTAACTAGGTTGAGTTTATTGTACCTATAATTTGGTTGCTATTGACCTCCAAAATTTCGTGTATACTCTTTTAGATGCAATGCATATCACATTATCACTTCATACATGAGCTCTCTAGATGGAAAAGGCATAGTTCAATGTGGTTGATGTTTTTTGAGCCCTCTAGATGCTGATGCTTGGTGCTGTTCTGTTTTTAGCAGTTTTATGCTTTTCTATTTATTTTGAATGGATTATGATACTGAATTCATTAAGCATGCCATACGCAATCAATTGGTGTGACTAGACGAATGTCAGCCCAATTTCAGAGAAAAGAAAGGTTGGAGGATTTGTAGTTAGTTAATACCTGTCTATCTGTAATTCCTTTTTTGTCATCATCTTATTCCTCATGGGATGGTTATAAAATTTGTAATATTTGTTGTTTCTTGATGATTTGCTTTAATGCATTGAATCAGCAGTTCCATTCTTACTTTTCCTGCATTATAAGATAGAATTCATTGTACTCATTATTGTAGTATTCGAAAAGCATTCGTAAAGTAATCTAAAAAAATATTTTGGGTAAGCACTTATCATTTCTGAGAACAGAATCTTTATATCTCCTCAGTAGAGAGTATTCAGGATTCACATCCCATTGCCTGAATTATGTCATTGCTATCATCTCACTTGGATGAGTCATCTCTACTGTGCAAGGAAACTAAAATGCCTTCACTTGGTTCTACAACCTTTTAACTAACATAATGCATGTTAACTTGGCCTTGTTTGGATTTTTTTCAGTGCGGTTGCATGGCAGCTAACATTAAGTCCCCCAGAAGAGGTCATGAATGATATAAACAGCAATCCTAAAACATCGGGCGGGGATTCAGAGTCCCTTGAAGTTCCAAATATGAATGATGGAAAGCTTTATATTGTTATATTTGAATCACTTATTGGATCAAGCAATGTGGTTAGTCCTTCATTTTCAACATTGTAGTTGATACATATCATGTTAAAAGCTGTTATTGTTTCTGTGTGATTTTTAGGGCAGTCTTTTGTATGACCCATATGCATTCATGTTCATTTGCTTTCAGGAAATAGAGTTTATCAAACAAGGATCATTTACTGCCAAGGAACTTGATGCTATTGCTTGTGCGCTGAAAATAGCCAGTAGTGGTTCAGATACAATAAGTGCCCCAGAAAAGAAACATAGAGGCTTTCCAGAAAGAAGAGATAAATCGAATACAACACAAGCACCAGTTAAATCAAAGTCATTGGAAGCATTAGAAGCAATGGGAGTGAAGGTCTTTGGACTGGATGAATCAAATACTGTTTTTCACAATTATGAGATATCATGGGATATTGTTGCAGGATACTATTGGCAAAAACGGTATGTGACATTGACTAAAGCTTTTAAACTTATTTATCGTTTGATACTTTTCAATCATTGTATTGCCGATCCCAAATAGTTGGGGTAAGTCTCGGATGATGATGACTTTTAGATTATTGTATTGTTAATAAATCAAATCATCTTTTCATGGTTATCTAACTTGATTTTATGGAAGCTAACAATCTAATATTGGAATGCTTGAATACCTCATGGTGTAATTGAGTCTGTCAAGAAGCCATTGCTTTTTAGAACTCTTACCTGGCATTATGTTGTGGGTTGTTACTTTTCGTGTATTGGAGGATGGCTATCATGGCCGTGTGATCATGAACTTTCTGTGTTTTTTTTTAGGCAGATCTATCATATTGTTTTAGGGATTTAATCTAACTCGAACTCGCTTTAACCATTTTCTCTATGAATTTTGGAATTTTCACCAATTTTGCGAAGTCAATATGTCATGTAGAGGACTGTTTTGGAAACTATGGTTAAGTGTTTCCGATTTGTTTTGAGTGGTTCTGCTTTCTTTTTGATCGATAGAGTGTTCACAAGTTGTTTAACTTTAAGCTTATCTATACCTTTATTTTAATATTGTATAATATTTTATCACAAGGAGTAACACTTCTTCTTTTTTTTTTTTTGGTTTTTTTGGTGTTTTCCCAGTATCGCAGATTATGTGTGTTATTTCTTCAACTCATAGTTCTCCAAAAGGTACCCCCCCCCCCCGACCCCCAAAAAAAAAAAAAAAAAAAAAAAATAGAAGCTAGCTAGTTCCCAAGTTAATGTCACTAGGTTTTACAGGTAATAGGGGATCCCTTCCAAAAAGATTTTGAAGATGAGCTTAATTTCTATGGCAGTCTTGGTTATGAACGCTTAAGTAGATGTGCTTTTTACATTTTCCCTATCATTGCTGATTCATAATTATTGGAAGTGGGAACAGGTGTGGGAGTAGGAGTGCCAGTGAGGGATGGACACATGCTAGAAGCTCCATAAGTTGGGTGTGCATTTCATATAATCATTTAATCAAGAAATAAAATTTATTAAAAAATCCAATAATCCACAAAATACAATTAAAAATGGGCAAGAAAAGCAACATTCATTAACTAAATTTATTTAGTTAGTAAATAATATCTTATCTTCATGTTCATTTTAAGTGTAGTTTATATGATTAATCCAACAATATACGATAAAAAAATTATGATGATGCACATTCGGATAACGGATAACACTATAAGGGATCTGATTTTTTATTTTTCGAATATACTTACAATTTCGCACTTTACAGCCTCCAAAAACATGGTCACTTGACCTATGGCTGGATTGAATCCTTCACAAAAATAAATGCCCTCTTCCATGGACCGATAGGCGGGCTAGCTTGCTTCCACAGATGGCGGGCGGGCGAGGGGTCCTTTGGACATGTAGCCAATGAGCAAAGCCAGTGGTACTGGCCCGAAATTGACCGAGTGCTTTCTTTGACATTGCAAAGCACTCTAGAGGGCTTTGCAAGGTCAAACTATTGGCAGGGTTCGCCATAGCAAAAAACCCTCTTCAACTTTCGCTTTGATGTTGCAAAGCACTCTCAAACAAGAGCTTTGCATAACATAAAAGCACTTGTTGAAGAAACGAAGAAAACTACGGGGAAAAAAACAAACCAACAAATGCAAACAAGAAAACGGATTTTACACTTACAACCTTCAAAAGCATGAGAGGGAAAGAGAGTATGATGCAATTAAGATCCAAATGAATCATCTTCTTGGTCTCTTCTTTCACCTTCGAGCGGCTAAGAGTAGTATCTAACGAGTGGGGATTGATGTCACAAAATTTAGAAGTGGCGATCCAGTGGAACTCCCTATCTTGGAGCACCGGAACAAGATCATGTAGTGGGATGGACATTGAGGGTGGGAGATCCGGTAACTTTGTGCTGTGCTGGGATTTTCATTAATATTTCTTTGGTTTACATGCATTAAAGACTTTTTTTTTTGATAGACAAGGATGAAAGCGTCTACTACATACAACATGATCTTGCAGAATAATACTTTCTTTTTTATGCATTTAATTCTTTATAAAAGATCAATCTAACATGCATGTGGATTGTATCCACTGGTGCTTAATGGATTGGGATTCTGTCCTACCATATGGGAGTGGGATCCACCCAAGGTCCCGCACTGTGAATGTGGCATCAGAGCGTGGGATCGCTGGGATCACCACCAAGTATGGGGATCTCCATGACTATTGTTTTTTTCCCTTATGTAAATTATGTGCGAGGTTACTTCTCAGGGTAAAAATAAATGCTCACTTTGTCCCAAGTTAATGGCTTTTCAAAACTTGTCGTTTGGTTTGCAGTTCTTTTCTGTAAAGATTTTGGAGATGACCTGGTCTTGGTTATGAACACCTAAGTACATATTTTTACACTTACCCTGTTGTTGCTCATCTTTATGAAACCCTCCACTTTGTTTATGTTATTTATAACGGGCCAAAGCTTCTAAAATTAATCCTCAAAATCTGCTTTGTTTCCATAGACAGGGTAGTAAATTTGAATCTGTATTATAAACACCATGTGTGGGAACGGGATTCCAAAAATTTATATGAGTCCGATGTAGAGTTGATGAAATTGACAGTATTTGTTAGATGAATACATCATTAGTGTGGTTAAATTGACGTAAAATTGCTAAATATACTAACAATAAATAATATTTCTAAAGGACTGACATTTATCAATTGCTTTAGTCCCAATCCAAGTTTGGGATGACTTAGCCGATTCTCAAAAGAGTTGGCTGAGTACAATTCAGTTCTGACCTGAGGTAAGCTGACTCAAGCGAGTTTCAGATCACTTTGCTGTATTTTGAATTGTTCAATGCAATCAAAACACTAACCTGTGCGAGTTTCCCCAATTAAGTTTCCAACTAGATGCATTGGAAGTTCAATTTAGAATGTTGATTGCTAAATGCTTTCGACTTCAGTATGACTTTCTACTGTTGTCTACGAGTCACATTACGACATAAATGTTAATAGATATTCATGTTTCCACTTTAATATGTGAACTTCAAAGGCATGCATGTAGTAATTTATTTAGGAAACACGAACAACTTTGCGGGCACGGCCCTAGTCTTGCTGGAATGTCAATTTTCTTATAAAATAGTTATTCATTATGTGTCCCTTATGAGGCCAATAAGGCTTGTTTACCTTATCAGACTACTATTTTTAAAATAAAGTATGCCTTTCATGACGTCATATTCTATAGAAAGGGAATTGTTATGCCTTAATTGGCATAACAATGAAGTTGCATATCATGTCTCTCTTTCTCCACAACCTTTTTGTCACATTCATATCCTTGATTTCCCTCAGGTTTTTTTTTAAATGAAAATTTAAATTGTTGATTTCCCTTCTTCCATTACCAGTTCCACTTCCAAGCTCTAGAGTCCTAATTCATGCCTTCGTTCGGAAACTATTTAATGGCCATTCTTTCTGTGTAATTCTCCCGTTCTGTTTTCCCAGACTGTATCCTAATTTCTGGCCCCTTCTCTCCTCCCCCACCCCCCAAAAAAAAAAACAAAGAAAAGAAAGAAAGAAAAGACCCCCCCCAGCGACACAATGACATCCCCTCAAGGCAGTGAAGAACATGATATCCAACTTAATCCCATTTCTCAGGTCATTGAATGAGAATAATTCCTGCTAGAGAACCCCCCATGCTACAATCATTAAACCGTTTCAAGATATCAAAATGATACATGAGGAAATATTTTCCTTTTCTCTTATAATGATTCATTTCTTGTACTTTAGTTGCCCTTTTGAGGTTCTCATTATATTCAGGCATATTTTATCTTCATATTATGAAGATTCAGGCTCATTACTAATTTACACCTTTTTCTCTCCGAATATTTGCGATTTATCATGTTTTCAGTTGTATTCGTCTTCTTCTTGATATAAAGAAGCGAGTGCTTTCTTTTTTTCTGTTATTGAAAATGGTAGTACTTGGACGCTTCTTTAATGGCAAGGAATAACTGTTTAACGTAGACATGTAATACCCATGAGGGCACTATGAGTTGTCAAAGATTTTTATGTTGGAATTTGCTTCGCTGGGAGTAGTCATACCTGTCTTCTATGTGCCTCTTTTATATTATTTGCCTGTGCAATGCTTTATCAATAGTGCTTCTCATCAAGATGAAGTTCCTTGTTTATCTACTTCAGGGTGGGGTGGCTCTCTTTCTCTTTTGTGGGCATGGAATATGAGTAAATTTGTAAAAATATTGAACTCAGGAATGCTCCTGTGACCATATAATTACCTCCCAGTTAAGCATGTACAAGTGTACACTTCAAATTAGACTATGCACACTGTTTACAACCGGTTTTCGGGTTAGTCTTGACATAATTGGGAATTTCTTTCCAAACGTTTTCTCATCTGATAACTAATGGGATTTCTACAGAGAAATAGAGGATACTGTGTTGTTGGCTCTACATAGTCCAGATGTATATGATAATATTGCTCGAGGAACTAGGCGCAAGTTTGAGTCAAATCGACCTCGAGCGGTTCTTTTCGAGGGTCCTCCAGGTATGGATAGGTAGAAGAAGTTCTATGCTGTCATGGGCCTTTCTTTTAAGTTCTTTCCTAGAAGAGAAATCATAAGAGTAGGTTTTTTGGGCATACTGCTTGGACCTAACGGATTCGTCGTAATTTATCCTTGTCTTTTTTGTCTACTTGGAATTTCTGTTGTTTATTCTCAGCCACTTTTCACTTTGTTTTTGTCTAGAATATTACAAATATTTAAAGTGTTAGTGGCAGTTCATAACAACAATGGAATTATGATAACTGTTTTAGCATTTTGTCATATAATGTGAGTTATGCTAGAAGTGGACAAGAATATGGGATTGTTTTGGTATTATGTATCATCAGCCCTAAATCTTTGCAGCTGTACAAATATTCAAGATTTTCTTGTTAACAATCTTCCGGTTTGCCAATACACTTTGTTTTAAACTTCATCCATGGCCTGGTGGAATTGGGATTCTTTAGAGGAATGCTGCGGGTAAACTACCCCTGTCATATTCGAGCCATGTGGATTTCTGCATTTGCTCTTCTGCTGTAGAGATTGACAGCCTAGACATCACTAGATGGACTATTGGGATTTGGGGCTATTCCCCTTGGGGTGGTTGGCGGTGATCTTTGATGAGATTGTAAACTCTTCCATTTTCATCATGTTCTAAGGGAGGCCAATACAAAAGGGCTGGCAATGGGCCCAGCCCAGCTTGATCAGCCCTGGAAATCTTGGACTTGGGCCACAAATTTTGTTCCCAGGGCAGGCCTGTGCCAGGATTGGCTCACACATATTTCCCCTTCATCTCTTTTAGAATCTATTAGGCCCAACCTGGGCCTAGGGCCATGGTCCCCTTCGACCCTGTTCGTGCCAGGCTGGGTCGGGCCTAGGGCAGCCCAATAAGAACCCAGGCCTGGTTTAGCCTTTTCCCAGGCCTACAAACTGATGTGCTCCCCAATGGAAGAGTGACATGAGATGCTACTTATGTGAGGTTGAGTTTTTAGGCATTCAAGATGTCACCTTGACATCTCATTATGTTGGGGCTCCTTCTTGTCTTCAATTTAACTCGTTTTATAAATTAACCATTTCTGATCCATAAAAAGGAGATTGTCGTTTTCAACTTCTTTTTGATAAATGATAAAAGGAATATTTAGATAGGGGAAGAACGCAACATAAAGTGATGTTCCACCCTCTGCCTACAATGGTTTTTTGGAATGAATGGGGGCCAGTTGCGACGAGAACTCAATGGTGCTGGCTTGAGGCATTTCACATTAGTGGCTAACCCATGGGGTTTATCAAAATTACGATCTCCAACTGGGGGTTCTTGATAGATGTAGTTGGCATACTACAAATGTTAGACTATATGCCATGCTATACCACCAAGTCCTCCTTTGCATGACACCTAGATTCTTTTGTGGGAAGTTGTCAAATTTTATACTCTTTTCTATTGTATTTAAGTCCCTAAGCACTTAATGTGTTCTTTCCCTCACTACAAGGACATCATTGCATGCAAGTAAAAGTTTATAATATATATTACAAGAGAGGGGCTTGTGGGTCAGTTTTAGAGTCCAATGTGACTCCCTGTCTTTTCTTCCTTTTGCCTCTCTCAAAACTTCTCTCTTTCTCTCTTGCTCTCCTCCTCTCTCTCTAGATCCTTTTCTCCCTAAAGTCTTCTTCTTTTCTGCTGTATATTTTAACATGCTATCAGAGTAGGAGGCTTTGGGAGTGGTTCTTGCAATCTTAATGATGTGATCTGACTTTGCAAGTGTCTCTTATCAGCTGTACAGTCTGCAGCTGTACAGTTTGAAACCCTTAATTTTGAAAAAACGGGTATGGATTGTAGAACTCTGAGTTCAAGTTCTTGATGTTGGATTAAAAACCCTAGATCTGGTTGGGATGACTCCATGGTGTTATAGGCTCGAGATCTACATCTGGTTGGGATGATTTAATGGTGTTAAAAACCCTTCATCTGGTTGGGATGACTCGATGGTGTTACAAACCCTAGATCCGGTTCGGATGATTTTGATGGTGTTGTCTGAACCCTTAAATATGTCACATCCTTGTCTTTGAGTTGTGTGACTCAATCATTATCGAGATCGCTTGTATTGATTGTCTCGGATTCTAATGGGAAGTGAATATGAGTTGCTAATTGTGTTGATCAACATGTTTTCCAGTTGCTGATTGTGTGGATCAGAACTTTCTTGGTTGTACAACCTATATTGTGGCTGGCATGTCTAGTATCGGTAACTCCTCGGCCATCATTAATAGTCCAGGTGTGACCTCCCATATGTGTATCCGTGGAGATAACCCTACCTGTGGATTGTTACTATAAACTTGATGGAACAATGTATTTAGAGTGGTCGCAATCAGTAAAAATGTTTATTGGTGTAAGGGAAAATTGGGGTACATTAACGGTATGATTATTGAACGTGAAGAAAGAGATCCTTCACATGAGAAGTGTCAAATTGAACATCTGATTGTAATGTCTTGGTTATTACACTATGCAATCATCAATTAGTGAGAGCTTCTTGTTCCTTTGAACTGCAAGGAGGATTTGGGACTCGGTATGTCGAACCTACCCTAAATGGTTGGGACAAGGCTCGGATGATCACATATCAAACCTACCCCAAAAGCAAAAGTGTTCTCGAGTGTACCGAATGAGATGTAAAATTTCCCATCTTCGACAAGGGGAGAGGGCTCTTGCTGCATATTTGTTCCTTCTTCATAGCATGTGGGAGGATTTAGACCATTACTAGTTGTTTAAACCAGCCATTGAGGAAGATGGGGAAAATTCAAGTAGTTTGTAGAGAAAAACCATATTTTTGTAGAGCCACCCTGAGTTTTGAGTTCGCTAGGTTTCAAATTCTCAATAGGGATGCTCTTCCATCTACCAATTAGGTGTATAGAAAAAGTGCCATATGCTGCCTGCTCCAATAGTTGATCGATCTGCCCTTGTTTCAGCCTTACTACCTCGAAAAAGCAATAAGAGGGGTGGACCTTGAAAGTTTAGAAAAGAGGGACCTAATAAGGAGATAAAAGTAAGATGAAATGTGATCATTGTGGGAGAAATGGTCATCATGAAGTAACGTGCTGGAATCTAGTTGGACGGCCGGCTGGCTGGCCATATTCAACCATGCAAGTCATTCTAGTGCTCATAATACTTCGTTGACTGGGACAGCTATTGTTAATACTGACCAACTGCTAGCCAACGTAATCCAACCTCAAGTTTCTACTACAAGGAGATGATATCAGTTCCTTAAGAGGAGATTGAGAACTTTAGCCTGTTCTCTCAATTAGATGGCCCATCTACTATTTCTACTTTCATCTTTTGCATGCACAAGTATTCATGCTTCAACTATCATGTCTTTTTTACCCCATCTGGACCATCCTGGATTAGTGATTCAGAAGCCTCATACCACATGACTGGTATATCTTCATTGTTTTCTTAGTATTCTCTTTGTTCTGGTAAAGATAGTCGGATCCCGATATGTAGAACATATTTTCTTGGTTATCCATCTTCTCAAAAGGGGTTAAAATGTTATGAACCTTTGTTAGGGAAGAAGTTTGTCTTGATGGATGTGACCTTTGCGTCCACTCCTTTTCTCCACACCTCTCTTCTAGGGGAGTGTAGTGTGGAAGAGAGGTCTTCTGTTTCTCCTCCTATTGCGATTTTTCCTTAGTTTGAAACTAAAGAGGATAGTGGGTAGCTATCCCACGATGATGAGAGAAAGAATTAAAAGTTTATGCTTGGTGGAAACAGAGAGAAGTGGAGACCGCCATAGCTAACAAGCCTTTAAGCCAGTTGCATACCTCTGATCCATGTAATCCCATTAGATCTCATTGTGATGAATCTGATCTGCCCATTGTACGAAAAGCTAAAAAAAGTTATGTACTCGCAATTAGCAACTTTGTTTATTTTAAGTAGTCTCCTACTTATTGGGCCTTTGTATCGTGTTTCTATTCCATCTAGTGTTTTTGTAGATTTAGCTCATCCCAAGTGGAAAGAGGCCATAAGCGAGGAGATGAGAGCACTCATCAAGAATGGTATGTGGGCATTGGTAGACCATCCTAAAGAGAGGAGGTTGGTTGGTTGCAAATGGGTTTACATTGTAAAACACATGGTCGATGGTACCCTTGGCAGAAGGCACGATTGATAGGCTATCAAGAGACATTTGCTCCTGTGGCTATGATGAACTCCATTTATATTGTTCACCCCAAAAAATTAAGGAAAAAAAAAAAGCAAAAAGAAAAAGAAAAGAAAAACTCCATTCATGCCCTTTTGTCATTGGCAGCAAACTTAGAGTGGCTATTTCATCAACTGGGTGTCAAGAATTCATTCTTTCATGGGGAAACATAGGAAGAAATATACACGGTACCTCCACTTGGATTTAGGGCTTTTGGATATGAGGGAAAAGTTTGTAAATTGAGAAATGCCATTTATGCAGCCTATAATTATTCAAATCTCTTACCGAAGGTTGTGATTCCAATTCAGAACCCAGATTCGGTGATTCTGACTAAGAATCTTTAGGAAACCTGTTTCCGTAAAGTCTATAGAATCTCGTTTCCAATATTTATTGATTCTCGATTATGCAATTGGTGAATCTCGACTCTAAACTTGTTAAAATTGGTTTCCACATTTACTGGAATTCTAACACTTTCCCCCCCTTTTTTGCTTTTTGTTTTTTTATGAGAAGTGATGTTTAGAAGTTTTCAAGGCATCAAACTACTGGAGCTAGACACTCAATCTCAAGTTATAAGGCATAGTCATCTTTTTTGGCATGAAAATAAAAACCGAAGTGGTGGTCCACGTTCTCTACTTACTGCTTTAAGTATGCATTATATTGATCCAATGGAGGATTGCAACTCCAAGATGGTAGAAAAATGTAAAACATGAATGTATGGCATGTCGGTCAATGAATGACATTGAGATATGTATTGTTTCCATCTCAGTTTCCTCTCTATTCCAAGGATGTCGAAATCTCGATTCCATAAATGAAAGATTCTCGATTCCTTATTGGTC